AGGCAATTACTCAACACACACCTTTTCATGGCAGCAGGTGATAAATGGTGACAGTAGTAAATTTTTAAGCTCAGGTAGTGTAAAACATTTTTTTATCTTCAAAATTCTATAAAGTGACTGGACCATGTAAACAACAGTTGCAAAATTCAAGAGGACAAAACAGAACAACATAAAAACCAGAGTGTTATAAAAAAAACGGGACTTTATAACAGTAGTATTGAACTGAACTTTGGAAAAGATTACACACACACAAGGCACAACTTTGTCCATGTTTTAGGTTCTGATTTGTATTTTACTGTAAGTTTCTTATCTTTAGAAAATAAGCCATTTCAGCATATTTGGTGTGTGAGATTTAGCACAAAATGTTCTCAAATCATGAAGTCAGTTCAGCTAACAGTTTCCTTGTTTGAAATAGTTAGTTTGTAAGGCSCTCTCCAAAAGATTAGAGAAGATAACTCCTCTCATAATTCATCCAGACCAAACTGGTTTTATAAAAGGAAGGCACTCATCTACAAATTCATGCAGATTATTTAATTTAATAGATTATTCTTACAGTAAAAACAGTGAAACTGCTATTCGGTCTCTAGATGCAGAAAAAGTGATTGACAGAGTAAAGTGGAAATTTTATTTTCTACCTTGCATAAATTTGGTTTTGGAAACAATTTCATTAATTAGTTAAAATATTATATAGCTCACCAACAACATGTATTAGGACAAATAACCAAACATCTTCTAGTTGTTGTCTTCAGAGGGGCACCAGGCAGGGATGTCCTTTGTCCCCCTCACTGTTTGCTATTTTTATTGAACCTTTAGCGGCTGCAATCAGGCAAACTGCAGATATTAAAGGCATACAATGTAAGAACATAGAACATAAAATTTGTTTTTATGCAGATGATGTTTTGATTTTTCTTCAGCATTCAGAAAACTCCATATCTAAGGTTATTGAATTCATAAACTCTTTTTCAAAAGTTTCTGATTTCTCTATAAATTGGTTAAAATCTACAGTTCTTCCAATTAATTGTGCTTTTAACTTTTCTCTTAATACACAACTGCACTCAGGTAGTATTATATACAGTATTTGGGTATTAATATTTCTCCTAGATTGGAAGATTTAATAAAATTAAACCATATCCTACTTTTGAAAAAATTGACGATGATCTGACTAGATGGAAATCTCTACCCAAATCACTTATGGGAAGAGTTGCTTCAATTAAAATGATGGTACTCAGAATAAATTATTTACTCTCAATGGGCCTCATGCAAGAACATGTTTGTATTCTTATCCTAAATTTCTCTTACTTTTGTTCGTACAAAGSGTTYGTACGAACGTCACGTCAGATTCAACAAACTCGTCTATCTTCAGGAAAAGTGTGTAAATGAGCTGCGTAAATTCCACCTGTTCGTATCCAGCTGCTCGTGCACGCGAGAGGAGATTAGCATAATTACCACCCCAAAAACACCATATAAGGCTATGTTTCCTGCCTCAGATACAAGGAAGGGTCCACTCAGGAAAATGACAGCGAAAATTAAAAAGAAGAACTTTATGAGTTCAGAGATTGAAGTCCGTCTGTCAGAGATCCAGAAAAGAAAATCTGTTATTTTTAGCAGGTCAGCTGTGGAATAAAAAGAGCTGCTAAAAGCATAAACAACTGTGTTAAATCATTTTCATTTATTCAGAAGCCAAACCTTTGCGCACCGTACACCCCCCCACCCACGCGCGCTGCGCGGTCGCAGGTGCTCAGATGCAGGTTTGAAATAAGCATTTTAAAATGTTTTCAAAACATGTCTGACACTTTGGAGAAAATCCAGGACTCGCTGGAGGGATTATGTATCCCCTCTGGCCTGGTAACGTCTCGGAGTCCCCCCAGGACGAGCTGGAAAGTGTCGCTGGGGAGAGCGGGGTCTCTCTGCTGGCCCCGCACCTGATCCCGGATAAGCAGCGGAAAACGGACGAACGGACAATTTATATTGTTAGTCTAAATTATTACATTTAAAATTATAACTCTAATTCAAGCAGAATAGCCTACTGTCAACATAATTATGGAGTGTGATTTATTTTCAACTCAAATTATCTTCAAACTAACGAAATATAAAGTTATTAGGGAGGAAACCCCGTCTGGATAACAGCTCATAAAATATACGACAGGTCTGGACCACACGTGAATTTTGTTCGTATCTGAAAAAAAATCTTAGAATAAGAAAACATTGGTGAATGCCACAAATTCTCCTAAATCACTCGTACGCACAATTTAAGAACAAATCTGTGCGTACGAACGGTTCTTGCATGAGGCCCATTGATACCAAATAAACCTTCACCTGTCTGGTTTAGACCCCTGGATTCTTTCATCCCTAAATTCCTTTGGAAAAATAAAACCCCACGTATTAGTCCAAAATCACTACAGAAAACTAAAGATAAGGGAGGACTAGATCTTCCCAACTTCTATCACTACTTCATGGCCCACAGGCTACAGTACATCTCAAAATGGTTAAATCCTAGCCCACTAGATGAAACCTGGATAGACATAGAACAAGCACTATGTCATAATATTAGGATTTCAAATCTTCCATTCATTAGCACAAACATAAAACAACAGGTTTGCTTTAAAAACATCAGTGGGGTAGCTGACTCCCTGTGGGAACATTTTGCTCCTTCAGTTATTTTTCTCCCCATCTCTCACCGCACACCTCCACCCTCTTCATTTTCAGCTCTACCCATGTAGGTAGGGTTTTTTGGGGCACAGTTGTGTTATAAGAGCAACAATATTACATTTCTATTTGCCATGACCACCTGGGCCCCAAATTTTATTGTACATCTTAGACATTCACTCATAACATTTTCATGACATTCACATACAGGAACTTAAGGTGGGCACTCATGGCTATAGGTGGCCGGATGGCACCACTCTTGCCTCCTGTACCTGTGCCCACCCCCAAGGTTTGCATGTAGACACTTAGGGTTTTGGATAAGAGTAGT